AATCCAAAATGAAACTAGCCAAAGAATTGAACAGAAGATGCTTTCTCCTGCAGTGCAAACATTTTGACATCCTACCACAACACATCATTGCTTCAACCAGGCCATTGCACAACCTACTTCTAAGACAAGAGATTAACAGAAATGTGTCACAGTACAATCACAGGTTAGGGATCAAACTTATTAATATGGAAATTGCATCAAATCAACAATTGATAAATAATCTTCAAAATTCTTTGTCCTCTCTGAAAAGAGACATTATAACGATCACTAATGAATATACTTTCTTAGATTTTTCAAGTAGACAAATTGTGCAATATAACAAGATTTTTCACAGAGTCAAATCTAACAATATCAATAAATTGAAGAAGTTAAAACTTGATCAACAGAACAACAAACTCAAGACCAGTTCAAAATGGTTAAAAAATATCTCTAACACTGTCATTCCGGAAGATATTTCAAAATTCTTATCACTAGGCCCAAAATTTAGCATTGAACCAAATGTGATGAAAGACATTCCCATAAAACGTATCTTAGCAGATGTAGATTATATAACTTCATTTATTCCTGATGACTCCTTAAGGAGTATCTCCATAGCTAGAGCAACAAATGCAATAACTAATCACATTCATCATTCAGATAACAAAAAACAATCTTTTTATCACAACCTTCTCAATAAGTCCAGAAAATTTCTTAAAGACAACCCCAACATTATTCTTACAAACTCTGATAAAGGGAACGTAACAGTAGTGATGGAAAAACAACAATACCTAGACCTGTCTAATGACATCTTACTGAACAGTACATCATATTCAGAATTAAAGAAAGATCCAACCTCTACAATACAAAGACAAGGTAACATCTTGATTAAAAAATTGAAAGATTCAGGACAGATTGATGAAGCTACTAAAAAAAAGCTCACTAGCTACAATGGAATATCTCCTAAATTCTATGCACTGCCAAAAATACATAAACCAACGTTGTCAGTCAGGCCAATAGTGGCATCAATAGGAGCACCCACTGAAGCTATTGCAGCTTACCTTACAGATATTTTGACAAGAGCTTATGATCAAGACAATCAGTATTACATAAAAGATTCTTTTGAGTTATCAGAAAAATTCAACAAAATAAAACTCCCACAGAGACATGTCTTAGCAAGCTTAGATGTTGTGTCACTTTTTAGCAATGTCTATTTAGATGCTTGCTTGAGAGCAATTGAAAAAAATTGGTCACGTATCAATAACTACTGTACAATCACTAAAGAGTCGTTCCTAGATCTCATCACTTTTTTATTCAATAATACATATTTCTCATTCAACAACAAATTCTATAAACAAACTTTTGGCACCCCGATGGGTGCATCAATTTCACCAATTCTCGCTGCCTATGTAATGGATGACCTGTTAGACACAGTAATTCCAGTGTTATCATTTGATCTTTTTTTCATAAAAAAATATGTGGACGACATCATCCTTTCACTTCCTGAAGATGGTATAGAAGAAATTCTGTTTACCTTTAATAGCTATGATCCAGCAATTCAATTCACCATTGAAACTGAAGATACGGACAGAGCTGTCCCATTCCTTGATACCAGACTAGTGAGATCGAGGGACAATATAGTCCTAATCGATTGGTATCGCAAATCTTGCAGTTCAGGCAGATTTCTCAACTACAACTCGTTCCACCAACAGAACATGAAGGTGAATTTGTTAAAACAAATGAAGAACAGGATAATCAGAATTTCTGATACATCATTTCACAGGAAGAATTTAAATATTTTACAATCTTTATTCATAGAAAATTCATATCCACCACAATTAGTCAAAAAAATTCTACACAGTGCACCCATGACACAGACAGCTCCACCTGAAATCAACATTCAATTGCATGAGACTGTGGTTACTGATACTCCTCCAATACATACAATTTTTTCTTCACTTCCGTACATATCAGATTTAACTCCAAAACTCACAAGAATTTTTCTTCCAAATCCTAACCTAAAAATTGCCAATAAAACAGTTTTAACAATTAGATCAATTTACACCAAAGTCAAAGACAAAGTACCTCTTACTGCACAGACGAATGTGGTGTACAGCATCCCCTGTCAGGATTGTGATAAAATATACATCGGGCAATCAAAGAGATCATTAGCCAACAGAATCACATCCCACAGGAGCGACTGTAGGCTTCATCCAGAAAGATGTGCTTTGGCGGACCATGTTAATTCCTCTGATCACAAAATGGATTTTCAATCAGCAAGAATTTTAGCTACAGAAAGTAACCACAAAAAAAGAACTTTTTTGGAAATGTCTTTCATTGCCCAAGAACCAAATTGTATCAACAAAAGATCGGACATTAACCATCTTAGCGAAATTTATTCATATCTTTTATCAATTGATAACCCTAATACGGTATTAAATAATAGCAACTCAACACAACCAACAATAAACAACTTTTTTAATAATCTTGATATGATGCACATATTGCCTGCAAGAATATTACCTGTTTTACTAGTAGCTCAAAAACTTTCTCCTTCCAATACTCTTGTGACTAACACACAATAGCACTAGGTACCATAAGACCAAGGTCATCACACTTAAGCTCCATGTCACCAGTGAATTGGAAGAATAAGGTTCAGTTTTCCTAACCAAAGATTTTTATTCTGACACACGTTGTGAAAAGAAAAGTTTCATCATGATTTTAAATCAACAACGTTTTTGATATTGACCTAATATTTTAATTTTTTGAATTTGTCATGTTCCAGATATGTTATACAAACATTTTTTTATTTATACATCACTTGTTAGTAACATCTATGTAACCAACCTCAATGAGTTGTAAGTACTGCACCACTTAGTCAACTAGCTTTGCTTATAATTGTTATAACATTTTGTAGTCTGGCCCTGATGATGGAAATATAACTTTCCGAAAGCTTGGACGAACTTGCATGAGTTTCACTTTTACTTGCTGCTTCCCCACTACTAAGTTTCATCTCTAACTTGTCAGCAACGACTTCCCTTCTCTCTACTATATATATATATATATATATATATATATATATATATATATATATATATATATATATATATATATATATATATAGAGAGAGAAGAGCATTAAAAACTATGAAGTTTTTTTTCGGTAACTTCTTTTTTATTTCAACAAGGTAACGCTCCGATCTTGGAAAACGATATTTCACTATTTAGTTTGTAGTTGGGTGACTTCTTATCATTAAAAAGATATCAAGCAGTTCGAATTAACACATTTCAACACCCTGAAGACGAGGAAGAGTGTAGGGTGTGAAATTCCCAGACAAACGCCGTTGGGGTGATATTTTTATTGCAAATTCACACGGTAAGTGATAATTTTCATTGTATGGCAACACCATGTAGAAACAATTCAAATCTGTCACTGTCACTGTCTCGCGATGTCGGATTATTTACCGAACGAGATTGTAAATATGATTATGTGTGTCGAACGTGCGGAGGGTAATTACCAAGAGGATGAGCGCGAATATCGACGTCGATATCCGGATCGGAAATGTCAGTCCCAAGTTACCATCAAGCCTCTTGTACAACGTGCCCGCGAAGGTCAGCTCACCCGAAAAAAAAAGTCGGTTTTTGACGACGTCGTCGATCCGGATGCGAGGCTACTCGCGGTGCTCGCGTAAGTGCACCTTAATCCGCATGTGAGCCTTCGAAAAATTGAAAGAGAAATTGGCATTCCACGATCCACAGTCCAACAGCTACTAAAAGTGACTAAATATCACCCGTACCACATCGCCTTGCATCAGTCATTGTCAAATGAAGACTTCTTCGCAAGACTGAACTTTCCCAACTGGGCTCGACGCAAATTTCAACGAGATCCGAGGTTCTTTCATCTTGTTATGTTCTCGGTGAAGCATTTTTTCAAAATGTTGGCATATTAAATCGGTAAGTAAAACAAATCCAGAAAGGAATAATTCGTCGTTTTACTATCAAAACCTTGTAAGTCTGATTTTCAATGAAAAACATATTATGGTATAATCCAATGAAACATATCCTAATTCATCTTCTGTTAAAACCTCGTAACTCTAGATCCATCGTAGCGCAATCTATTGAGAAATTCATGAACCTCGTATGTCTCACATTAGGCGTTGTAAGCTATAGCCTACAGAGTATTTATTTTCATGGACTGGAAATTTTCTGATTTCAGGATATTTCTGCTCGTACTAGAAACATTATTTCACGAGTGCAAACTGAAATTTATCAATTGGGCTCGAATGGTTTTCTCGATCGAATCGAATCCGAAAAAGATGCATTGCTTTCTGATGGTGCTGCTCAACATGAGATAGATCCTGAAGCTGATGTTGAAAATGAGGTGAATGATGTATTTCTTGCTCAGATTAATGAAGACTTGAGAGATAAGTCCCCACTTGTAGCTGATGAGGATGAAGGAACATCTGATATTCAAACACAGTTTGGATCTGAAGGAATGGCACTGCCTCCTGATAAAGAACAAGATGGGTTCGAAACTGAAGCTGAAATGGATGATGACATTGTTCCAGATCATGATATAGAAGAAATCGAAAACAATAATCTTATTCAACAGAAAAACATAGGGCTCGCCAAGAAAAAGAAAATGACAAAAACAATGAAAGTCATGTTCTGACTGTTGATATGCAATCAGTTCTTTTATGTCCTATGTTGAAAGCTTCATCAATTTATTATAAGAAAAAACTTGCTGTTCACAATTACACAATTTATGATCTCAAAACTAAGGATGGATTCTGCTTCTTAGGGCATGAAGGTGAAGGAGGTGTAAGTTCTAACGAATTTGCTACCTTACTGTGTAATTTCATTCAGTACAAATCAGGGATAAAATCCGGAGAGAAAGTGGTGATTTTTAGTGACGGTTGTTGATACCAAAACCGGAATGTCACCCTGACCAATGCATTACTCTACCTATCAAAGGAAACTGGCATCACAATAGTGCAAAAGTATCTTGTTCCGGGTCACACTCAGATGGAGTGCGACAGTATGCATTCTGCGATAGAAAAGAGACTCAGGAATCAGGAGATTTACACACCTGCCGGATTTTTATCAGCATGCAAGAAAGCACGAACATCGCCAAAGCCTTATTCTGTGGAACATCTTCTTCACACTGATTTGAGAGATTTCAGTAAACTCAAGTATTTTACTACCATTCGTCTTGGTTTCAAAGTAGGAGATGCTACAGTTAACAATTTATGCGCCCTCAAATATACGCCTGATGGAATGCTATTCTTCAAAATAAACTTTGATGATGATTGGACCCAACTCATCAAAAGACATTCGGCAGCGGTCATGGGAACAGAGGATATCCCGTGTCTATACCGAGACTCGCTACCAATAAAAAAATCAAAATATGATCACTTACAGGATTTGAAGAAAGTGATTCCACATGATTTTCATTTATTATACGATACCCTAAAATACCTATGAATAGTTTATTATTATTTTGTTATCTTGAAGTTCTTAGTTAATTAAAACCTTGTAAGTTGTATTTCGATAAACATTTCAATATCAAAACCCCCTCAAGTCTTATTTCTCGAAATTGATTGAAATTGAGGCAAAATAAACTTAGTTAATCAAAATCTGATCACAATTACACGACGTCGTCCAGTTTTCGAATTCCTGGTCCTCCATTCCAAATTTCTGTCTCTTGAAGAATCAGTTTCTAGAGACATACGAGGTTTTTATAGTAAAACGACGAATTGTAACCGCTACGATAGAACACAATTGATTATTTGAAATTAATTACTTAATGTTTCGTAATAAACACAACTGCCAGTATTGGAGCGACAAAAACCCGCATTGGATGCGGATGATCGACCACCAGCATTGTTGGAGTGTGAACGTGTGGTGCGGCATTGTGGATTCGCAGCTCATTCCGTATGTGGTTTTGAGCAAGATGGCGCGCCTCCACATTTTGCTAGAATTGTGCGAAATTTCCTTGACGAGAGATACCCGCAAAAGTGGATTGGTCGTGGGGAACCCGTGCCCTGGCCACCCAGATCACCCGACTTGACTTCTTTTTGTAGGGTTACATCAATAACATTGTGTTTCGCGAACCCCCAACCACACGCGAGAATATGAAAGATAGAATTAGAGGAGCGTGCATGGCTATAACGCCCGCTATGTTGGAAGCGACAGTGCGGAATTTTAAAAACGAGTGAACTTGTGTATTCAAGAAAATGGAGGTCATTTCGAACACTTGATGAAGTAGTCAATCTCACTTAAAACCAGCTTTAGTCTGACCTGAATGATAACTTAATTGCTGAACCATGCTTATTTTTCTCTTTTCTATGTAGAGGTGTCAAGGTAAGTAAGTCGTTTAGCGTTAATTTGTCGTGTGGATATCACCCCAATTGAGTTTGTTTGGGAAAATATCACACCCTCACTCTTCCTCGTCTTCAGGGGGGTGTAAATAGTAAAATATTGTTTTTTACGATCGCAGCGCCATCTTGTAACAATAAAAAAGAAGTTCCCGAATAAAAGCTTCATAGTTTTCAATGCTCTTCCAGAGTCTTCAATAAAAAATAGGGGTTTCCATTAAAGATTTCAATGTTACCTCCATTTCCTTTTCCCCTGGGGGTCAGGGGGTGGAACTTGTTTTATAACCAGACGTCTCCCTCCAAACCATACAACTTTCTTGTCAGATGCATACATTTCGAGAAATTTCCAAATAAAGATTGAAATGGGACACCCGGTATATATATAGATCAAAAAGTCTGTTGATTCCTTCATGATAACCATATAGAAATAGGCCTTTTCATTTAGATGCATTTTAACACACATTTGCTGGATTTCAGATCCAGAATATGGTGGGGTAATGCGAAATCTCATTGGCTATAGTTCCGGCACAAAATTCTGATTGGCCTTATTGAAATATGGCGGTTTTTATTGACGTCCTATTGATTGTCACTTGTCAACATTACCAACCACCAAAGGCGTTCGTCAACGTCAATCGTCATTGAGATTTGAGAAACGGCATCTTCGTATTTTCGTTTCCAGTTTCTATCTTTCATAAATTTCAATCACTATTCCTCGTGTGTATAGATTGTATTGTGATAATTCCATACCGCCTTCTCATCCAGGGCTCCAATTCCAGCCACGCAAATCAGAAACAAACGAGGGAGAAATGTTGACAACATAAATATGGACTTGGCAATAATTCTCGAATGGGGATCCAAGAACTTGGTGGATTTCAATGCAAACAAAACAGAAGCATGCCTTTTCTCTACAGAAGCCGATCTCACTGTGCCCAACATAAGCTTGTCAGGAGTAACCATACCTTCGAGAACATCCATTACGATGCTTGGGATTACTATCAGCAATAATAACCTTTCTTGGGAAAATCACGTGAGATCAATTGCTAAAAGTGCATCCCAAAAACTTGGTTTTCTGTTTCGGGCCGGGAGCTATTTCACTCCCAGTCAGCTGCTTATGATCTATAAGGCACAGATCCAACCTGTCCCGAAATACTGTTCCCATATTCGGAGTGCCACACCCAAACATACCCTGAAACTGTTGGATTTTGTCCAAAAAGAGGGCAATTCGTCTCGTGGGTGATGCCTCGCTCACAAACTCACTCACATCTCTGGAACATCGTAGAAAAGTTGGCGTTCTGGCTCCATTTTATAGATACTTTCATGGACGCTGCTCCTCTGAAATATCAACAATTGATCCTCCCTTGGCAGTCCCCGCGAAATTAACCCGTCGAGTTGAGGCTTCGCACACCTTCGTGGTCACTTTGGAGACCTGCAGAACATCTCCTTCCAAACACTCGTTCATCCAACGAACAGCAAGGCACTGGAACACATTGCCAATGGAAGTGTTCCCCGAGGCATATAACCTCCAAAAATTGAAGAAGAACACCAATTCCTACCTTATTTCCCTTGGTCCTCACGATGTTCTCTGAATATTACAAGATATCCCTTTTCGTGGGAACCAAAAAATAAAAAAAAAGGAAAAAACGTGACTTGTTCGTTACTGAAGAGTGTGGTGCAAGTTTTCTCGGTGAAAATGGTTATGAAATGTTTTGTTTGTAGCGCCGAGTGAAATAGAAATAATTTTCGTACATTTCACAGATGAGTTTCATACCTATCTTATTAAATCTATAGATTTCATAGGAGTTCATAGACAGTGTCTACCTTGCAAATATTACGAATGAGTTTATTTTAATTTTTAATTCTCGAAAATTCTTTGCATGTCTTCTGCTAACCTAACCTATTGAAAATGGAAACTTCGAGATTAGTTTCTTTCTAAATGCAATAACCTCGGAAGATTGACAAACTGACGTATGGGAGAATGAAAAACTGACGCGAAAGAATACAAAACCGTTAGGGGTACCTATTTTTATATTGAAACTTGTGTTCGTCATAAGCTTATAGAATGGCTTCTTTGTCTTTTTTGAAAAGCGAATTGACTCAAAATGACGTAGCTTGCGCTTCATTACAAAATAAACCTATCCAGGGACATATGGTTTATGTGAATTGAGGAGATGACTTTAATGCAGAGGACAAAAAATTGGGGGAACGAAGAGAGATATGGTAGACCGGTAAGCAAATTATTTATCTGCTTTATTCAAATCAAGAACTCGAGGAGCTCTTCACTGATGAACTTTGTATACTCTGAAATAATACGCATATTTTTATTTCATAGAAACGAGGAAAGGAAATCCCAAAAAATCGAGAAAAATGAAAGTACTACCTCCTCGATTAACCTACAGACAGTAATTGTACTCTGAACAGAAAATAGTATTTGTATCATATCATTTGTCTAGCTTTTGAAGATTGTGTGTAAGTTGCGGGTTGGACTAAAATGCCATTGACTGAATATTTTTACTGGGAAAATTTTCTTCATTACTGCATATGCTAATTCATCCCATTGAACTATATGACTAACTTGATCACAACCTCTCACCCATCATTTTTCCTTTTCCTCATTATGGTCATTTTAGATTTCACTCTATTTTGCAATTTCTAGTTATAAACTTCTGGCAAATAGTGAAAGTCAGCCAGTCCCCAAGATTTCATAATATTGATTATACTATTAATCAAATTGTTTTCCAAGAAACAAAATATACATGTTCATATCAGGAAACATAGACCATTAATAATAATAAATCCCACAAGGAAGAGCTGTGGGAGAAGTAAAAACTTATGATACCTTATAACCAGCGCAGTGTATCTCAGTTGATACAAGATATAAAAGTGTTAATGTTCAAATAGGAACATCAATCCAGTACACATTGTGGTATCAAGTAAAGACACCATGGGGGACTAGAGGGAAAGTCAATAGCATTTTAGGCCAATCTGCCGATTATATAGGTACTCTGGTGAGTGGTACAGGAATGAAAAATATGCAGTGATCAGCTGAGTAATGAAACAAATTCATGATGTCCCGTAGCTGCTTTCACACCGTTTTTTCAAATTGTAATTTGTATCTTTTGGGTCGCATGAAAGGGAATTCAACAAAGTCATAAAACTGAATGTGCGTAGATTTTGCAGGTCTTCTATCATGTTATGGAATTTGGATATGATCCTCCATCAGGCACCAGTCAAATTTGTCAATGGAATAAGGGGAGTTCTCGGAAGAATCCAACCACTTCGTATACACGCGATTATAAAGGGAAAACGAGTCATAGCCAAAAGTTCATATTCCATCCTTATGCAGATAGCTATAACTCTTTCAGGCGCACTGGTACCAAATATGAACTACTAATAAAAGCACCATTGGTGGGTGGTGGTTCATAAAATGAACCAGTTGTTTATTTTATCATGCGTAAAGTTCTATGAACGGAAATTTGAACCATCATCCAAACACGCTCTTATTGGTATGTCTAAGTTGTTATTCTATGTGTATTAATAAATGATTCCGATAATGAATTTTTTCAGTATATTTAATTGTTTTTTATGGAAACTTGATTCAATACTGGTCTACAATATGTACCACGACACGAATAGAGATATTTTTTTCTTGTTTCAGATTAGTATGGATGAATTAGTTGATCACTTGCCATTCACCCTTCAGAACATGACAAAAGCTGAACTTATTGAAAATCTCTATTTGGGCGATGGTGATGGGAATATTGATGCTGAAAGTATTTCATCAGATGATGAATCTTTAGTTGGTGATAATATGAACGATGAAAACTTGGAAGATAATAGTGATGATGTCCCCGTTAGTGATATATTTTCCGACACTGATTCTGATACTGAGGAAGATATCATCCTACTGAAGGATCTACAAGCTCGATTTCTCTCTGATAAGTATGTATCACAGTAAAGAGTGTTCCTATCAAATCAACCAGCATGGACTAAAGTATTTAACCGTTTGAAAATAGTACCATCTTCACATGCGCTTCAGGAGTTCCAGAGTTCATCAAAACCAGACTGATCAGTCCCCAGGAGCAATTTTCAATTAATTTTCTAGTTATGATTTCATTGATTTTCTGACTCAGCAGTCAGGCAAACCTTACAGATCAACTAATGAGAAAGAAATCAAAACGTTTCTTGGAATACATTTAATGATGGGCATAAAGAGATTGCCAAGCTACCGCGACTACTGGTCAACTAACAAGTTACTGAATGATCCGTTCACATCTTCTCTCATGCCAGTGAAGAGATTTAGCTGGATCTTAGTAAATTTTCATGTGAATGATAATAATTCACAACCACAACGAAATAATCCTAATTTTGATAAGCTCTTCCGAGTAAGGCTTTTGATAAACCACCTTCAAGATCGCATCAGCGAATGTTTTTCACGTAGCCATAGACGAGTCCATGATCAAATCCAAAGGTCTACATTGAAACAATATATGCCAAAAGAACCTGTCAAACGTGGTTACAAAGTCTGGATGTTGGCAGATCAAAGCGGATCCTGTTCAAAGTTTGAAATCTACACTGGTAAATCGAATGATGGTGTTCAAAAGGACTTAGGGGGCAGGGTCGACAGAACTTTGTGTCAGGGCTCAGAATACAAGGAACATTGTTTATTCTTTGACAATTATTTCAATAACGTTGCACTGATGGAACATTTACAAGAAAAACAAATTTTTGCTTGTGGGACGGTCAATAGTTCAAGAAAGAACTTGCCTAATTCCCTGCCAGATATCAAACTGAAACATGGAGAATTTGACCATTTCACTAGCGATAGCGGTCTTTTAGCCATAAAATGAAAAGACAGAAGATCAGTTTGTTTACTGTCTAATTATCACAACCGTGAAGATGTTGCATCTGTGAAGAGAAAAAACAAAGACGGAACTGTAGAAGATGTGGCATGCCCACAACTCCTCATTGATTACAATGAGTATATGAATGGAGTCGACAAATTTGACCAAATTAAATCTACATATGAAATCGACCGGAAAAGCCACAAGTGGTGGCACAGAATCTTTTTCTTTTTCTTAGATGCGTCTATCGTCAACGCTTTTATTATATATAAGCAGCTTGACCATGAAAAATTAACAATGAAAGATTTCAGACTATCATTAATCGAAGAGAAGACGATCAGGAAATCTTTCACCTGCAATTCAAATCAAAAAACAAACCATTCGTGGCTGCAGAAAGAAGGCTTTCTGAGGCAAAACACCAGCCAACATATAGCATCAGAAGAAGATGTGCATTGTGCAGCACGAGTGAAAAACAATTACGAACTAATTGGATGTGTTCAACATTTTCAGTACCGCTCTTTATGGGAAAAGATAATGACTGTTTCCAGATTTATCATTCTCGCTGATCTGGGCGGTGGTTCACTGAACTTTTTTCAAACTAAAAAATATTTTTTTACCCAATTTTGTCATGAATGTTCAAAACTAAGTTTGTAATGCATAAGTTCATTAAAAAAAAAAAGAGAATTTTTTTCTTACTGCCCACATTGGTCATTTTTCATTGGCATATTGCTGCCCCTGAAAGAGATGAAGCAGAAGATCCAGTTCAACTTAATAATTTTTTTTAATCCACTTCACAGTATAATCGAACATTTGATGCAAATAGCCATGGTATGAGTTCATGGGAACTTTTACTGAATTTCATTTATGAGGATTATGAAATAACACTGGAAAGGAAAATTATTCCGAAACACAATATTTCTCAGTTCAGGACAAATCCTTTTCTTCAGTTTACAGAGCCAAATGTCACCGCTGGCCCCTCGGAACAAACTGCCTCAAGATGTAAAGATTTTGTTAATTCAAATCCTGCAAAATATTTTGAGCTGTTGAAGAATTTGATGAATACCAATACAGTTTGGAATAACAGATTTATAAATCATGGCCTGACACATGAAGATGATACCCGTAGAGAATATACATACAAAACTAGGAGTTCTGTTATTAAATCAGGATTGTGGGTAAATCTAAAATATATTGGACTAGGCGCTTCTCCTGATGGTATTATCCTTGATCATGAATCAAATGCACATGGAATATTGGAGATAACCAAAAGTATATATTCCATCCTTATGCAGATAGCTATAAAGCAGAAGATCCAGTTCAACTTTATAATTCTTTCTTATCCACTTCACAGTATAATCGAACATTTGATGCAACTAGCCATGGTATGAGTTCATGGGAACTTTTACTGAATTCCATTTATGAGGACTGTAAAATAACACTAGAAAGGAAAATTATTGTGGAAGACAATATTTCTCAGTTCAGGACAAATCTTTGTTTTCAGTTCACAGAGCCAAATGTCATCGCTGGCACCTCAGAACAAACTAAAAGCGAAAAATGGCATCACTTGAGGAACATTTTCATAACTGCCTCAAGATGTAAAGATTTTGTTAATTCAAATCCTGCAAAATATTTTGAGCTGTTGAAAAATTTGATGTATACCGATACAGTTTTGAATAACAAATTTGTAAATCATGGCCTGAAACATGAAGATGATGCCCGTAGAGAATATACAGACAAAACTAGTAGATCTGTTATTAAAACAGGATTGTGGATAAATCCAAAATATATCGGAATAGGCGCTTCTCCTGATGGTATTATACTTGATCATGAATCAAATGCACATGGAATATTGGAGATGAAGTGCCCTTATGTTCTGAAAGATTACCATCCATCTGAATTGAATAAACTAGCAACTCAACAAAGAAATGCATTTTGTTGTGCAATTGATGAAAAATTTCACATGTGCCTAAAAGGGTCCCATCCATATTATTATAAAATTAATTCAGATGGTAATGGGAGTAACTGAGAAGAAATGGTGCCACTTCGTGATATGGACACATATAGGTACATAGAACTGATACCATTCGATAGGCCTTTCTGGGATGATATTTTTCCTGATTTATGTAAATTCCATGAAATGTGTATTTGTCCTGAGTATTTTGAAATGAGAATTCCAAGGAATTTACCTCCCATGATAATTTGAAGTTTGTTTGATACACAGGGTGGACCATTTTAATCTATTATGGATAATAGTTCTTTCCGGAAGCCGCTAACAAAAAATGGTTCCAACAAAAGTTGAAGGATTCAATGGGGGCCAAAGGATGACCCTACTCACAACCCTCTCCCCCCAGGGCCCCCATACGGCCCTGGGAGATGACATGTTTTTTTTTCAATGAGAACCCTATTTTTTCACAACAGATTCTTGTTCTACGGAGAAAAGCAAATAAAACGGTGGCCACTTTGAACAACTATTAAATGGTTGAATAAGTCACACGGAAAGATTAAAGGTATAATAAATACCAAAATTAAAAATTTGGGGCCCTTTAAGGGGCTCAAAAAAGAGACATTTTTCATTTGTTTTCCTCTGTAGAACAAGAATCCCTTGTGAAAAAATAGGGTTCCCATTGAAAAAAAAACATTTCATAATGAGAGAAACAATCGATCAAACTAATTTATTCAGTGCCCAACAGAAAGAACGGAACATGCATGAACACTAATGCTAAAGAAATTACAGACTTCATATCAATAATGCTACTGATGGGAATAATACATCTTCCATCTTATGAATATTATTGGGCAAGTGGTACCCGAATAGAGCAAGTAGCCAGTCTTATGCCAATCAAACGATTCAAAGCTTAGAGGCGAATTATCAATTTCAATAACAATGAAGACCTGAATGAACATACCATAGATAGACATTAAGTGACTCGTTGAACCGAAAAAGTTATACTAACAATTTGAGAATAATACACCAAAACATTAGAAGTATTAGAAAAAACTTCGATGAATTTTTGTTGCATATCGATCAAGTTACAGATAAATTCGATATCATAGTTCTATCTGAAACTTGGAGAGTATACGATACAAACACCTTCAATATTTCCGGATATGATCTCCTCTATAGCGGGGAAGGAATAAATAAAAATGATGGCGTAATAGTTTATCTGAGAAATTTATTCAATTACACATATAAAATAGTGAAAATCGGTGAATGCACATCCATAAAAATAATATTAAGGCAAGATGATAAACAGATATATATTACCGCCATATATCGTGCACCACAAGCAATAGATGAAAATTTTGTAACAAAGTTAAGATCTTACTTAAAACAAACAAAAAACCATTCGAATATCATATTTCAATAGGGGACATTGATATAAATATAAACTGATGATGATGTTATCAATTAGTACTTGGATAATTTGGGAGAATATAATGTCATACCTATGATAACAAAAAACACCCGGGAACAAGGTGCTTCAGGAACTTGTATAGATCATATTTGTCTTAACAGTAAATATAAAAACACAATAGAAGAATCTTTACCAATCATCCTCAAGACCTCTATAACAGATCACTTCTGCCAGATATTAAGTATGCCCATACACGTCAGACGCGATATCAACTCGACGTCATTAAAAAAATATGTAGACTATTTAAAATTAAAAAATGAATTGCAAAATTACGACTGGTCAAAGTTGTATCGAATAGAAGATGAAGGGATAGCCACTACATTTTTCGTCAATTATTTAAGCTCCACTATCGAGAATAACACCAGAACTGTTAAACAAGAACATATAGAAAAACAAAGGCAGGATTGGGCCACGCCAGGTTTAATAACATCAATAAATAAAAAGAATGAACTCTATAAGAAATACCGGTTGAACCCAGAATTGTACGAAAATGAATTCAAACATTATCGAAACAGATTGAATATTTTAATACAAAAAACAAAAACTGAATTTTATAAAAATAAAATGAAAGAATATGCTATATCTTCAAAACAGCTCTGGGACACCCTCAAATCACTGGAAAAAAATGTAGTGCCGGGGTAACTTGGCCACCACGGGGTAACTTGGTCACCTATGACGTAATTGTTGTTTTTGTTTATAATGTTGCCACTATTTTTTTTAGTAAGTTTTTCTGGTCACTATTATTTGTTTCAGGTAATTATTAACTGAAAATGGTGAGAAACTACCATAGAACACCCGGTGCAAAGCCCTACCAAGACTATTCGGAAGAAAACATGAAAAAAGCCGTACAAGCTGTTAGGGAGGGGATGTCGAAAAAATTTGCTGCGGAAACATATCAGGTACCTCGGACAACTTTGGGTCGTAAGATTCTTGGTAAAAATTCTGGAGCAGTAGGCCGTCCAAAAGTCCTTTCACCCAAGGAAGAACGCAGTATATCTGAGACCCTTGGAGTAGTGGCTAATTGGGGTTTCCCGTTAACCAGGCTTGATGTGAGGACGGTCATCGCAAAATACCTAGACAAACAAGGGAAAACAGTGAGGATTTTCAAAAACAACACTCCAGGAGAAGATTTTCTGGATGCATTTATCCAGAGGAACAGGCTGTCCATTCGCCTGGCATCGAACATAAAAAGGTCCAGATCATCCGTCGACCGTGAAGACATTTTAAATTTTTTCACCAATATTAATGAAGCTCTAAACAATGCAGATGATTTCAATATCTACAATTACGATGAGACAAATGTCACAGATGATCCTGGGGCGAAAAAGGTGGTGGTCCCCAGAAACACGAAAAGGGTTGAAAGGGTACAGAACCACTCTCGTACCTCTATTAGCATTATGGTGTGCGGAAATGCGAAAGGGGATCTACTGCCTCCCATGGTCGTCTATAAATCTGGAAATTTATATGAAAACTGGACAGAAGGCGGCCCTCCTGGAACGAAATATGCCAGCAGTCCCTCCGGTTGGTTCGACATGAATCTGTTCGAGACGTGGTTTTTCAAAATCCTCCTCCCGCATATAATGGAAACACGAAAACCCGGTGCTACAACTATTGTTGTAGGTGATAATCTCGCCAGCCACTTTTCACCGGCAGTTATTCAGCCCTGTAAGCAGCATGCAATTTATAAAACTCCATTTCCTGCAAATGCCACTCATTTAATGCAGCCACTTGATGTGGCTGTATTTGGACCCATGAAAAAGTGCTGGAGAAAGATTTTGGACAACTGGAGAAAAGAAAGCCGATATCCTGGAAATCTTCCCAAAGAGCAGGTTCCCAATTTGCTCTCTAGATTATGGAAAGCCATATCTGAGAGTGTCAGCCAAAATTTGATATCTGGATTTCGAGCAACTGGGCTTTATCCACCTGATGCAAACGAGGTCTGAAAAGGATTCCAGATGGAACACCAGACGATCGAGATTCCATTGGAAGATCTCTTGATGCATCATTGGTTGATCTTCTGAGGGAACACAGAGGAATTATCAGTGAAGCAAGTCCGAAGATAAAAAGAGGCAAGAAAATTCACCCCGGTAAAAATTTGGCAAGAGATGAAGATAATAACGTGGCTCCCACAGATGCCACAAATGAAACTGTCCCTGTGAACCTTGCAGACCCCAATGAAACAATTGAGTTTCCGACTGATCAAGCATCGGAGCCACTAGCTGACCCAGGAACGTCTGGTATAGTGGGAAAGAAAACAATTAAGAAGAAATCCCGTCCAATTCAGCCCAGGCAGAAAAGTGAAAGACTAAAGAAAAGTCAAACAGATGCAAAGTGTGGCCTATGCTTCTGTAATTAGAAAGACTTTCTTGGAGGCCCAGAATGGATCCAATGTATTCAGTGACTAAAGTGGATATGTGGCGCATGTAACAACGAAAGTAAAGACCCTTATTTTAAATGCGATTACTGTGACGATTCAGAGGCAGAACCGTTGGAATATCAAGATGATTCTGAAGCCGACAAAGATTTTATGCCAAGTGAATGAGTTGGGAGTTAGAGTTAGTTTTAGTGTTAACAGTTGAAGTTGAGAGTCAAAAGTTCTTTTTACATTTTAAGTTGTTTCTCTATCTATAAGTTTAATATTTTCATGAATAAACATATTTTCAACGTTTTTTGTCGTTATTCTTCAGTAAAAATCTAATATATAGACTATTTATGAAAATATAGAACAAAAATAAGTAGCTATGGCTTCGTTATGTTTTTTTCCAAGCGGCTCTGGGGTAACTTAGCCATGAGAACCATTATAAACGTTAATTTCATTGAAATTCTCAAAGGTGACCAAGTTGCCCCAAACCCGGGCTAACTTGAACACCCCACAGATATATATTTTTTTCTGATTCAAAACAAAAATATGACTTTTTACAAACTCTAACTCTTTTGTTATGTTATTTTCGGTTTGTAAAAAAAAATTGGTTCAAATGCATCAAAATACAAAAAAGATATTTTGGAAAAAGTCTGAAAAGGATGACCAAGTTTTACGGTACTTTAGTGAACAGTGAACGGGTGAAGAATTGGAGATAGTTCAAACAATTCAAACTGATTATGACGAGCAAATCAATTGACATATTAAAGAACCTACAACATGTTTACAATACCCACATTGTCCTGCTTTGCATGAACAAATACACATCCATTGTTCTACAGGAGTTCCACTGGACCCCAACTTCAATTTCACTTCATGTGGGGAATATTTCATTGCCAAAGTTTGTAGACAAAGTGCAAAAATGTGCCTTTTGTTGAAGTCTTCTGCCTAACACAAAATCACATGATTAGCACGGAGAATTGCTTCTCCTTCCACTACTGGCCGGCATTTTCCGTTTAAATAGAGCAGAACATAAGCCAAAAGAACATCTACAACAGGCATTATTAGCGTTTTCGATCGAATATTAACAATTAATGTCAATTAACTTAAAAACTCATCACTTTTATCTCACTCTTATCAGTACACAGTAAACAAGCTAATGGCACTAATGGGATTGAGTGAGGATTGAGTCTGTTTTCCCCCAATGAAAACCGAGCGCCACCTGGTAACATTGATTCCCGCGAATTTTAGTAATTGTGCGGAGGGATGACGTTTCTGCAGTTTCTAAATTTTGCATGGTAGGATTTCTGCAGTTGAGATATTGAATATTGAAAGTTCATTCATAATTTGCAAGACCCAGTATCGGTATCGAATCGGCAACTGAAGAACAGGTCTCTATGGAACATATTCCTACGTATTACATGGCAACAGATATTGCCTCTGACATTGAGAAAATTATCGTTCAGATATATGAGGAACAGAAAAAGATAATTGAACTGATATCAGCAAAAACTGGTAAGCATAATTCACTTGAGCCCTCTAACAATAGTTGTTGTAGCTTAAACAGTTCTGATGGTCCTATCGTGTACACGCAAATGGCAACACCCCCTAAATTTGCAGCTGATGGAACAAAACAACCTATACAATTCTTGAAAGAGATGGAACTGTACTTCAGAAGAATTCATGTTAAGGAGAACATGATCGGCAGTGCAAGGGATTGGTCGAATATTTATCAAATTACGTGGGATACGTATGAAGATTTCAAACAAGACTTTACTCAACAGTTCTGGTCTGAGAAGGAACAGGAAAAATACGTAAAGACATTGCGTATAGTTCTTGGAACGACAGAATGGGATCGGTGTATAACTATTTCCCTTACTACGTTAGCCGTGCAAAAATCCTCTCTGAACCAATGCCAGAAGAGAGATTAGTGAATAAAATCATGACTCACTTTGCTCAACACATTAGGTCATTATGGGCTTTGGTAAGTGATCACACCATTACAGTGTAACGTATATTATACAATTACACTGCGCCGGCAGCTTTTCATCGGCGGCATATGGGCGTGGATTTTTGAATTTGCTATCCTGATAGATCACAAAGTTGAATTTACTGAAATGTTCCAAAATTATCAATTTAATATAAAAAATGTCAAATTTATATTTTAATGGACGCCACTGGTTCTTTCAGATAGTTGTTCATCTAGGAAGAAACAGAAACCTGTAATATATGGATTGAGAGAGAGATGTCAGTAGAAAGTAAAAAATCTGTGGAGTAGGTATATATACAATTTAATGAAAAATCAGTCATAGATTATTTACAAATAGTAGGTGCAAAGAGGTAGGTATTATTTATATTATTATACTCATATGTTTCAAAAGTTGATATAGGTACCCTATTGATATGATGAAATTACTTCATTGACAGTCTAGTTCAAATTCTAAAAAGAAACCCACTTTGAATATTATATTAGTTGTTATAGAATATTTGTAAACTTCAAGGAAATGTCCTAAAAATTCATGAATTTTATGGGGATATATTATACTGTTAAATTGCCGGTTGTAAGCTAGTATTTAGGATATTGTAAATTTCAAATAGGGCTTGAACATTTCAAGAGCACTTTTGAAATCTGAGTTGTAGCTATGAGTATATCTTTGTACCTTGATTATTCTGACTTTAATAAAACTTATATCTAAAAAAACCTGATATTATCCAATGATGACGTCATGGTTTTGTTCATCATCAGGTAGAAAGCTGAAGTGGATAGTAGACTCTGGTAGAAACTTGTAGACTAGTAGACTAGGAGACTGCAAAACTGTGAAGTTGGAGACAGCAAAACGTTGAAAATTGGAGACTGCTTGAAGGTGGTGATATGTGGTCAGCCTACCACAGGAGGGATTGGGATGGCCCTTGCACAGCCATGTCAGACAAATCACACCCGGACAGGGTAAAGAATAAGCCCATATGTAAAACCCTAAAATTGATTAGGTAGGTATCAGAACCTGGTCTCAAAAAAATATGAGAGTTAACTCTCGTCGTGAATAAAATGAAATAACTCACCTCTGGGGTATAGAGGGTTTCACCAAATCAAAAATACTGATGGATGAGTGACTTCCATATATACTTCCTCAAGCACGTGTTTCGAGAAATTCTCGAATGGAGACTTCCATCCTGAATATGATTGAAATATTGTATAACGATATTAAAAAGAGAGTTTGAAATCTTACCATCACGCCGAAACATAATTTTTCCTAGGTAAAGGCTAGGTGCCTATGCAAAATTTCAGGATCTCCCAGGAGCCTGACGAGCCAACACGTGAACAGCCAGCAGCAAAATGGCCCAAAAATGACATCTCCGGAAAAGGGAACTTGACCCTGCATTGAACTTGACCCAGACATTGAACTTGTCAAAAATCGTCAACATCACGGAACATCAAAAGTGGATTGGAACCAATGATCGCAACTGTCAACGAATGAGCAAATGAAATGTCTCGTAGCAGTATTTCTAATTGCACCTGTACACTGAGGCTGTTGGTGATGTGACCTTGAACCATACGACTATGCTCCGCCTCGAGCTAGATACTCACGAACATAACAATAGACCCAAAAGGTCTCGTGCTGATTGGAAATTGATGTCATAGCGAATGAAGAATAAGAATGTATCGAAGCAAGAAAAGAGTGACAGTGGCTAATAACGAAGAATTGGTAAACCATAACCAAGACGTAAACATTGGATGATTTTATTTCAAAACAAAACGAAAATAATTGGATCACTTAAAAATACCCAGGCCCATTCGATTCTACAATATGTACAATTTATTTACAATAGAGGTAGGTGCAAGCAGTTTTCTAATCAAACCTATATTTGATTTTTATAATATGGTTGAATTCCATTCTGATGGTTACCTTGTTTATTTTCAGTGCCTGCATCTTTGGAATCAAGTAGACTATAGAAAACAGTGTGTATTCGAAGAAGACAACACTGTGTATTCAAACGAGAAAGGTAAGGTTTATTCAAGTACCTAGAATTTATTAATATATGTTTGTGTTTGTTTTCTAGTTATAGGTATTATATTAGGTACTGCCTAATTCATTAATCATTTTCGTTTCAGTTTACTACCTGTGAGCGTTCTGTTGGATACAAGATGAGAAGTGATATACAGGGCGCTTTAATATATTAGTGTTAACTTCTGAACTATGTCAATTGAATTTATCAATGAAATGTTTATAAATTCGACAGTGTATATCTACAGAGTTTCTCTAGTGTTTTAGTAGGAAATACCATGAAAAAGGTAACGTTTGATATAGGCTAGTTATATTAGCAAATGAAAACGTTACAACAGGAGCCGCAAATTTCCTGAGGCAACAGGAAGTAATTCAGGATAACCCCAGCACGGTACCTAACAAGAAAGTAGGTACAACTGATGTAATATTCTCATTTACGAAACTCTAGGAAGATAGTTTGAGAACGACCTACTACAGCTGAGACAAATATCACCAACACGGTATCGGCTCCTTTGACCAAGGCGTCGGAAAACTCTACTCAGTGTAATTAGAGGGGCCGCCGGGTTCGACTTTGGATGTCAGGCGGTTCAATGGTGATGTTGAGCATCGAATTGGATGGAAGCTTATGTACCAGATGAATTGGCAGAAGGGCCACGGACTAGGACTCGCAAGGTATTAAATCACCCATAAAGTCACTAGGTAGACACCCTCGAGATAAGTCCGGATTGTGTTATCTGGAGTTTCACAAGCAGGAAAATAGTTTACTACCCACGATTGAACTACAGGTGAGTCATCTGAAAATTCAAACCTTGATTGATATACTGGTAGTGAGATCACCTGTATGCCTGAAGAAACTAACAGAATTACAGCCGGTGCAATGTTACTCTATTTTGCCTATGAAAGCCATTCAGATTCAAGGCGCATCAGATGGAATTGAATAATTTATATTTTTAAGTGTTGATAAATGTAAGACAATTGAAAAGCTTAGAACAGTCAAAATCTGTCTGTCATTGATACAAGTCATTTTCTCGGGATTCTTAAAGGCCTTATGAATTTCAAAATCTTCAAGTAAGTTGAGTTTTTTACTTATATATAAAT